TCATTACCTTACAATGAACCCCTTCCAATATTAAAAAAATATTATCACAACTACTAGCATTTATATGATTTATTGAGTCATTACTGGTTGTCAGGTGCTGAGCTAAAAGCTTTATGAGCTTTATTTCATTTATTCTTCACAGTAATCCTGTGACAAGTGCTGCTATTTTCTCCACTTTCTAGATAGTGTAGCTGAATCTTAGAAAGTGAAGAAGTTCCCAGACCTTGGCTCCAAATGCTCCCACGTCAGATAACCCTCATATAAAGTTTCATGGGAACTTCTAGAAGAAGCCTGAACCAGTTTCAAGACAAAAGTATTTAACATTTTTGTGCAAACGTGGGGCATGGAGTGATCTTGGATTGGGGGTTCAGGTGGGCCTTGCACATCTTATTTCAGTTCTGTGTACTAACCAGGCTAAGTGGTTTTACACCTCTGAGCTCTACCTTTTCATGTTTGCAAAAGGAGCATGGCAAATCCTGCCTCTCGATTCTGCTGTGAGAACCGAATGAACAAGTACATATAGAATGTTCTGACATACTGCCCTATTTAAGCGAGGATGTTCAGTAATATCATGTTCCTTGATGTCTAAGTTCTTTTCCTTATGATTCTCTTCCACCTTTTTTTTAAAGAGATCATTCGTCATCCACAATGTTTATCTAATCTTTTGGCTCTTCTCCAGATGGCTTCCACTATATCATTCACCTTCTGCAATCACAATTCCCAAACAGAATGGAGACCTCTAGTGTAGTGTCACCTGCCCATGCTGGAGTGGAAACATCTCGCCCTCTTAACCCAGACAATGTATTACTTTTAAAGATATCCCTTCTGCTGACTTACTATAAGGTCAGAATTTTGGGAGAATATGTGCTGACTCATACTGAGTCTCCAAAGAAGCATAAACTAACATCTTGACTAAGATGAACTTTCAATGTTAACAGATAACCTTTCATCTGTAATACTACCTGTGTGGTGAGTTGAATGAAGTTCAAACCCAAATAACCACAGAGCTTTGTTTTAAAACTCACAGTAGACAGTAGACAGTTAAGGGTCTGTTTGGTGCTTTAAGCAACCACTGGAGTTGTCATATGAAGCAGCACCATTAATAAGACACTGATAAGTCCAAGATGGAAGAAACCAAAGCCCATTATTAGAGTGTCATGGGGTTTCAAGGAATTATTACATCTGTTACATGGAAGAAAAGTTACACTTACAGATATTGATGCAGCTTTCCAATTTCTGTTAAGGGATCACCTAGAGTTCTTGTTAAGAATATTAATACTTGTGCTCAACTCCCAGAAAATATGATATACTGGTTCTGGGGAACTTCAGCCCAGATGACCCAAAAGCAGATGACTTATTGGTTACAGCTAGAAAACAGTGTGAAATTCAGTAAGTCTGGACACAAACCCAGTCTCCTGCATTAGTGTGTGTGGGCAAAATGCCACTAGTGGCCTTGAGAAGTCCCAGACAAAGAAGGGGCTGTGTCAGTATTTATTGTTCTTGCCAACTGGGCTCTGGACAAGTGCTCTATTGTGCTGACCTTTCCCCCATATGGGCAGTAAGCATCAAGTATAACTGTGCTGGTACACAAGGGGAGAATTAATTTTCTTCCTGAGGATCAGACCTATTACTCACCCCCTTCAAGACTTCAGGACTATCCTACAAGGTTGGCTAAAAACTAAGAAAGTGCCGGCAACCTGGCAGCTGAAGGTTCATGGTGGAAAGTGAGAAAGGTGAGAGCTGTTGGGCATGGTCCTTGGGTTTCGTAGTCTCAGTGGGGTTCCTCCCATTTCACGGGGGCTGCTCTCATCCTGACAGACCTCGAGGATGATTTTATTTATAATTAAGTGGTCTTGGGGAAGCATAAACTATAATGTGGGCATATACATACATATAAAAAACCATTGAGCTGTATGATTGAATATGTGATCTTCACTGTGTTTAATCTTCACTCTACTTATACATGTCTAAATATTAATGCCTAAACGTAAGCTACAGAGAAATAGGTACCGACATCACTTCTCTTGCCTTCTTGCATAACACTAGTATCTCCAGACATCAGAGTAGAAACTCTGCTGGCCCAATGCTGAAAGTTTGTCTTTGCTGGACACTTTTATACCTCCATAGAAACCTCAGCTTCACTCCTCTTCAAGTCCTCATTTCCTTATCTGTCAAACGGGTGTAGTAAAGATAACTGTGGAGAGTTGTTGGGAGACTGGAATGAGCCATGTATGTAGATTAACCACACACAGGAGGCCCTGGGGAAGGTCTGCTTGCATAGAGTTACCAGACAGCAGCCACCTGACTTTATGTGTCAGCCGCTTTCAGGATTTCTACTGATCCCCAGAGGACTGATCTTCACATGTTAATGTCTTCCAGTGGGAATAACTTCCATTGGGGCACATAGAGGTTTCCCTATTTCTTTTTTCCTAACTGCCAAAGCTACTCTCCTAGGAAACTCCTTTAGTTTTCTAAATCTGCTTGTTCCACCATGTTTATGCTTTTGATATAGCTTCCTTCCTGAACCATTTTAGGAAAAATAAAATATAATATTTATTAAGTACAATAATGTTTTAGATGCTCAATGAAGCATTTTATATACATTGTCATTCCATTTTTTGTCATAATAGTGTCCATTTTGTAAATAAGAAAGTGAGACTCATGGTCAAATCTAATAAAAATGGACATGTAGGTCTTACTATACACACACACACATATGTATGTATGTGTGTGTATATATACATATACATATATACATATATATACATATATACATACATATGCATATATATATATATACACACACACAGAGAGAATAGTAGAATTCCATAGGACCACTTAACTATTTATTTCCTATTCATTCAGAATTATTGGCACAGGCTTATTACCAGGGATACACTCTCTCCCTCCAAAGACATAATTTAATTTCTGGCCTCTCAAAGATTCCAGTCTAGAAGTAGAAACACAAGTCTTCAGATAGTTACAAGGTTTGAAGTTTATAAGCGACATCAGATATGGAGCACTGAGAGTACCTATTATTTGACTACATTTTTGGCTACGATTCTAAGATGACAAGATAGTTTTGCAGCTGTATACTACCTGAAAATCTGTATACTACCTGAAAATCTGTATAATACCTGAAAATCTGATCAAAATGGACATGTAGGTCTTGCAATAATCCAGAGATAGGTATCCCTATCATTCCCATTTTATAAATACAGAGACTGAGATTCTGAGAGGTAAGGCATGCACTGGACCTCCAGACTACAGGAGTGGCAGACACAAACCATTGCCTGATTCATGTTTATTTTACTCTACAACTTCTTCTCATAGTCATTATGAACCATGACCGTGGGCTAATTACTTAGTCTCTTAAGAACTCAATTTCTACATACATAAACATAAATATTCAAATTTGAATGTCTGTAAGGTCTAACATTCTACCTGATGTTGTATGACATCTACTCTGCATTATTCATAATAGTTAACGAAAAGTAACAAGTATAAAAGATGAGGTCATACGCCATTAAGAGTGGTCAAAATTTGCCCTACTGGTTTTTCTACCATCATTGTTCATCCCATATTCCAGCCATTCCCTGGTTTTGCCAATTTTTTCAAATTCAAGTTCCATGTCTCCTCCTCTTAACTAGGTGTTTTGTTCCTTCTTCCTCCCTCCACTATCCCTCTGCCATGTCATATTCAAATGCTGCCTGACTTAGGTGCTTATATGATTTGATCAGGATGAACCAGAAGTCCTGTTCTTATATCAAACAACAACAACAACAAAACAACAACAACAACAGAATGTATATAAGGTGAGAAATACTGGACATGTTTGCAATTCAAGTGAAAACCATGTTAAGTTTGTTCTCTATTGTGAAGTGGGAGCAACCATAGAATGCATTAATAGAAGTCTGGATATTTCCAAGAGAGGGAGTGACAAGTAGTCTAGTCTGAACATACTGGAAGGTTCAAAGCCAAGTGCTGAACAGCAAATCTTAAACAACTAGAGAGAAAATTGAATGACATTGAGAATAACCTGGCAAACACAGGGTAAGGATCTCAAGGACATTCAACACATATCCTTTGGAAAAGATTTTCAAAGATTAGCCTGGCACTAACATGGCACTGGAAGTCAGAAGAAAGTTACAACTGGGAGGGCCTTCTTGGGGTGGGGGTGGGGAGACGGAGTATGAGGGAGTGGAGGTGCTGAAATGCGGTCAGGTTTGAGATCTGGGTTGATTTGCATGTGGAAATTCACTAACCTGCATAATTAAGATGTCTTCTTTATTATATTAATAGTAACCTTCAATACATTTAAAAATTGCAGTGCCAAGTGAGGACAAGTATTTGAGGGGAAAAGGCACCATCACATCCTGCTGGAATATATAAACTGGAACAACTTTTCTGGAGGGCACTTTAGCAATAGATATCAGGCACCTTAATCAGTTTCTTGGACCATGCATTGCAAATGATTTTTAGTGACTATGGTATCTCATTAATTCAAATTAATTAGGTGAAGAATAAGTGGTAGGATAGAAGATACTTGCAAAGTACATTTGCAGGGAATGAGATATGAGTATTCCCCAGGACATCCAGGAAATTCCAACACAGCTCATACAATCTCCCCTGTCTTGTTTTTAATCAGCAAATACTATCTTGTGTGTGTGTGTGTGTGTGTGTGGGAGGTATTTTTATGGAATGAAATCAACAGGTATACTAAGAAACAGCAGATTCTCTGAAGTAGCTCCATCTTTCTGGACTCACATTTGAATTTTCATTTAACAAACTATTTCCTAACCCACATAGGTAAGCGAGAGCAGTTTTTAATACAGTTCACATAATCCAGGAATCTAAATCTAAAGAATAAGGGCCTCTCCCACAACCTTTGGACATTCTCCTTTTCCTATAATATAATACTGAGACTGGTGGCTCCCAAAGGACATTAAACTAGCCCGGGCTTCTGAGTAGGGGCAGCCACCTCCACGCTCAGTGCTTACCATCAGCAATGAAGTGCTCAGGCACGTGCAGAGTCACCTTGACGGTGAGCGGACAGGACATCTGTGTGCCGCACACCATGGCCAGGATGCAGGAGCTCACAGCAATCAGCGTCAGGGCCGTCTTGTTCACTGGACTTTTCAACAAACCTAACAACACAAACACACACAAACACATGTCATTTTATGAGGGGAGGAAGCAGGCTGTGTGAAGCTTCAGAATCCCATTATTTTCCCCATGGGAAGCTGAAAAAAGAAACCACCATGTTCCAGCCTCTGCATTTGCAATGACACCTCCGTGACCTCAGGGAGGTGTTGGTTTAGTCCTCTGCTAATAGGGCTCATCATCCTTTGAGTTAAAGACAAAAGAAACATGCTGGCTGAAAACTGGCAATTCACTCTCCCTACCCATTATGTTGGCCATTCTTGATGATAATTAGGTAACATCAGATCCTCTACTCTCTTCAGAAGCCAGTGAGAGGATGCCACATGGTTGAATTCATAGGGCCTTGTGGCATGAGTGTTGCTTTGAAATTTGACGATCCTGGCTTCCAATTTGACAATCCTGGGTTGGCGTCCTCACTCTGTGCCCTGCTTCAGTCCCACAGCCTGGGTTTCCTTAGTTGTGTGTTGAGGATATTAGAGCTCATAGTGTGACCATTATAATTATACAGCACAGTGTGTGTCTAATGTCCACCACACCACCCCCCAAAATTTCTTTTTTAGAAACTACGAGAACCTGATGAGTTTGAGTCAACTTCACAGGCATTATGGAGCACCTGCTATGTGAGACACACCGAGAGAATAAGAATAGTTCCTCTCTTTTGAGATTCTGATTGCCATTTATAGAGCAATGTGTCCCAAAAGTCTATTGGTCACCAGCATCTTCTTTCAAGCACACTTTTAGGATGGGGGTCCTGTTTTTTAGGACCACACAGGTCAAGGGCAGAGGCTGGCTACCCACAGTTAATAAGAATCCCTGGTAAGCTGGGTTAAGAGCTAATCAAAAGGGCATAGGATCAGGAGGAAGCTTTGCCTGGGAATATTAAAGACAATTTCATGGTTGCAGTAGAATGAGCAGATTGAATCTGCCTGGCAAGGAAGGGAAGCGCCGGTTGGCGAAGGAAATTCTATGCACCGTGGCTGAGCCACAGCATGTCTCATTCTTCATGCACGTTCAAGGGTTTGATTACCACGTATCGAGGAATGGCTCCCAAGTTCCTGCGATGCAACAGGCTCTATCTTTGAACACACTTTATGACTAAGAGCCATGACCTTCTTGCTGGACATCCCATGAGCATGACAAAAACAGCGTGTTCAAAACTGAATACATTATCTTCTCCTCAAAGCCTTCCTCTCTCAGCTCCCCAAAGGCCCCCCACCCCCAGAAGCCTGGATGTGTCTTTCTATGTCCTGCCTTCCTTCTTTAGGGCATCTAAACAGCCATTTACCACTTGGCCTTAGCCTTTTCACCCCTTGCACTGTTCTAAGGTCTGTTTGTTTGTGAGATGAGGGTGGTGTGGGCACCTCTATCCACCTCACTCTCTGCTGCACTCCAGGAGCCTTTCACAGCCACAGGATTGGACCCACCCTTCCGAGACTGGCAGGGGTGGCACCGTGATGGGTCCTACCTCACCCCTGCTGCTCTCTCCTCCTGCCCCTGTGGCCAGTGCCACGCCACTGCAGTGCCTGCCCTCAGAGCTCCCATTCTGTTACTCGTGGTTGGCATTTCTTTGGATAGACATTCACTGGTGCTCTCCAATTAATTTAAAATATATTCCTTTTAGTCAAGACAGATAACCACATTCATTGCAATTCTCATAATAGGAAATTGAGGGCAGGCGCCGTGTCTTGTGCTCACTCCTGTACCCTAGTACCCCATTAGATCATAACTCACACAGTACTGGCCACAAAGTGAAGTCTCAGCAATGCACTGTTCCTTCCTAGGACAACAATGTTAGCAGCCCGTCCTTGTGTGATGTCAACCCAAAAAGCAGGTCAACCAGAAACAACCAACATCTGAGCCTAGAACCTGGAAGTTGTTTATTTCTGGCAGGAGGTTCTTGCTTTATGGCTTGTCCTCGGGCAATGAATTGCTTATGGTAGCAACTCTCCTATCACATGGCTCTTAAAGTTGTTACATGGGAATACAGATCAAGTATAAAGATTTTTCTGGGGTCAACAGGTGGGAAATTCCTAACCTAAAATGACCACAGTAAGAACAGATTTTCTCTCTATTTGACTGTTATAAGAACCCATTCCAAACTCTGATAATGTAAATATTTAGTAACTAAATCACATAAGCATGCTAACTTTCCTGTATTTGACTTGAAAGAATATGGACTAAAGGTTGGTGCCTTGCATGAGCTTTCCTTAAAAAGTCAACATTTTATCCCAAGCCCTCAAATTACAGCAATGATGCTGAGTTTGCTATGAAGATTTTTGTGGAGACTGTTCTGATAGAAGAATTTGAATGGATGAGTCCGTCATGGAGAAATTCTTGGGAAAGGCCAGAAGATGAGAGGTGAAAGAACTTAAGAGGTTCTGTGATTGGATGGGTGGAGGGTCTGGATGGACAATAATGCCCTGGGGGTCTCCAGAAAACACCTCAGAGTTTGCACAGACTAGAGCAGAGTGGAGAGGACCAAGACAGATTCCTCGCTAATGAACCAACTACTGCAAACCCCACCTTAGCTCAACAGGGCTCAGTTCTGGTCTGGGGAAGAGGATCCTAGGGCAGGATTAGGGTAGCTCATGCTTTCTCCCTGGATTCATGCTAACTGCATCCCTATGTCACTGAAGCCTTCACACCACCCAGGGTCTTCAAGAGTCAATGGAGTTGCTAGTGGAATCACATTAGATTAGTGACTTTCAGTTTTCTCACCTGGAAAGCAGGAATTCAATGGCACATGCACATTCTTCATGACAGTTGTTAAAAATTACACGGGACAGTTAATGTCAACTGCCCAGCACAGTTTCTGGCACATGGGAGGTCCTGAGTAAACAATGCTTTCCAAGTCATATATCTATTTTTATCTCATAACTAATGACAGAAATCAGAATGTATTTACCTGTTTCTCCAATGCACCAGAACTTGTTAGAAATTGAATTATTCTTTTTGGAAACTGAAGACAAGGAGAAGCTTATGAAGGAAGAGTTTTTTGGGGGAGAAGTAAAAGAAAATATAAGCAGTGTTCTGAAGCAACCATTTACTCAAAGAGTACCTGAACCATCACAGTGGCCTCTGAAGTCTGGGAAGAAGGCATGCAGGTCAAGTCTGTACTGAGGCCAGACACCCAGAAAGCAGCCACTAGGGCCGGGGAGTTGCCATGGCAACTGGACCTGGCAGAAACTTCACAGTGGGACTCAACAGGGGTGACTTCTTAAGTGTTCTTGGCCCAGGAAGCTAAACATCAGCACATAACTCTGATAAAGGAGCTGTCGAAAACATAGCAAAGTGGAAACTAGGTACCCCTAATATACACTTAACCCCTCATCAGGCTCTGCACTGTATAGCACTGTAGGAAGCAAGGGCAGGAAAGTCAGTCTCTATCTATTGTGAGTTTATTATGATGCTGGTTCCACACTCACTATGTAATATCCATCCATCCATCCAACTATCCATCCAACTATCCATCCATCCATCCAACTATCCATCCATCCATCCATCCAACTATCCATCCATCCATCCATCCATCCATCCATCCATCCATCCATCCATCCATCCATCCATCCATCCATCCAACTATCCATCCATCCATTCCAACCTCCTTCCATACGTCCACCCACACACATATACGTACACACACACGCATGCCTGCATACATCCTACTAATTTTTATCAAATGTCAACTCTTTTTCTGCACTGTTCCAGGCACAGGGGAAATAATATTGAACAAAATCACCAAGGTTCTTTCTGATTATATTTTAATAATAAAGAATGGCCCCATGTGAATCTTAGAGCAAACTGTCACCTCTATCCCCAATTTACATTTGAACAGAAGGGGACAGCAATTACATGATACGTCTAAGGTCACCACATTTGTATTTCAAAGGCAAGATTCCAACCAGGACTTTGCATCCCCTTCCCTATAATATATTACTTCCACTGTGGCACAGAATTTGGACCTCAGGGAGGCATAATGCAGTCACAGAAAGAATGTGAGCTAGAGAGCCAGACCTACCTATGTTCAAATGCTGGTTTAACCACAAAATCTCTAAGTGATAGATGATCTAATTACCCTAATGAGACAAAGTGTTTTCATCTGAAAAATGGGCACAGTGGTCTTCTTTTAGAGCGAACTGGAGGACTAAGTAAGACGACACATATAATTGGCAAAAATAAAAAGAGAAAGAGAGCTTAGGAAATAGTAGCTCCAAGTCCTAACAGGAGGACCTAGAAGGTTAAGGTCATGGTTAATCTCAGTTCACATCTCAATTTGCAATTCCCTCCCCATCACTTGCTGAGGCATGAGCGATGCCGCAGGGATAGAATTTCACCAGGGCATATTGATTGCTGGAACTGGAGAAAGTTAATAATCTAATTTCCCTTTCATTCCCCCTCCCTCTTACCGCTCAACTCCTCTCATGCTAGCAGAGAACGGCATAAAATGCATTGCTTGAGAAATTCGACCGGAAATAACCCGGCATTGTTGATCCACACGCTGCCTATAATTTGGGGTTTGATTGATTCTCGGTTTGGAAATGCCAGGTTGAGAGAAGAAAATCAAATTTAAGTTAAATTTGGAATTGAATCAATCACATTTTACAATGAATAAAATAGATCTAACCTCATCAGACCACTGTGTGTGGAAAACTTAAAGCTGCTCTATCCCCATTGATTCCTTCCTCCTGGCATCCCCAGGGGACAAGAGACTAGCCCCTAAGCCAAGAAGTTATTTTTTCCTTTAAATGGGATATGGTATTGGGGTGAGGACAGGGACTCTTGGACCCCAGGACATACAAGTGGAGTTCAGGAGGATAGGTCATTCAGCCCCGGAGAAAGAGGGTAGGTATTACACGAGCCATCAAAATATACATCCAAACCCTTCCACTGAATAGTTGTCTGAAAGATATTTTGGCAAGATAGCTAAACTTTGGGAGTATCATTTTTGATTACATACAATGGCAGTGATAATCTCTACCCAGGA